TTAACATAATTTATCTAACATGTAACATTCATTACTCATTGCACGACTTAATTACTCAGTTTAATATATCAATTAACGATAAAATTTTGCAACCACAATTATACATGATTTATTAAATACTAAACGTTTCAACATTAATTGCGACCCTGAAGAATAGTTTTTATTTATATAAACAGTTTCCACATACGCGAGATTACTTAGCCAGCAAGTTGAAATTATTTTTCAAATATTACGAATACCGAATAAATCTCAGTTTTCTTTTTTAAATAATTATTACAACGTTTAAAAATGTAAGTTATAATTATTTATGTTATTTTTAACAAACAAGATTTCTTATCGAGCTTAAAAATAATTTTAATTTATTTCTGAAATAAAGAAATAAATTTTATAAAATTAATTTATATATAAGAAAAATTTATATTTGATGAAGTACGAAGAATTTATTTTATAAAGAAACTTATGAAATAAATAAATAAATAAAATTTTTCAACACACATTATTAAAAAATTAACTTAATTATCAAACATCTATATACTATTTAATTTGGTATAGAAATTGTTATTATTGACTGGGGATTCAAGTTTGCCACGTAATAATTTCCTGTTTAATCCAGTTACACCTGTTATCCATTAAATAATTATTCACTTATATTAAAAATGAATCGTAAGTTTAACCTTGACACTTGTGATTTTGTTTCGTTTAAAGAAAAAAAAGACTCTACGCGATTAAAAAAAAAAAGAAAGAATAATAATAATAATAATTCTAAAAATATTATAAAAATATATCCTCTGAAACATTTGAAACATTGACTCAGTGAAAACTTTTTCACGTGAGTGTATACGTGTGTCCTTTGTGAGTCTGTTTTTCATTTTTCATTATTTTTCATCTACGAGATAGTCCTTTCGCCGAGTAATAGCGAAAATAAGAGAGACGAAGAAAACTCGGAGAGTGTGGGTTTTCTACATTTTTTCCTTTTTTTTTTTTATAAATCTTCCACTCGGAATTTCCTTCTCCCACTACCCCCAACTTTCCCCCTTCTTCCACACCTCAACTGCAGTATTGAAGGCGGACGTATGGTATCCGACTTTCTTCTCTTCTCTTACGAACGTAAATGTTTCCGGTCGAGTTAACTACTTTGCCGTTGGATAATTTGTTTGTCTATTCAAGAATTTGTCTATTTTTTGTTTATTTTCAATTATATTACGAAAGATTGTATTGATTTTTAATTTTAAATTAAAAAAAGAATTGCTAAAGAGAGATTTCAAGTGTGTTGGATAATTTTTTTTTATCTAAGGACGAATTACTTTGTTTTATATTTTTGATTATTAATTATTCGTTATTGAAAAAGTTAATTTAAAAATGTTTCACGTGAATTGGCAGATGCGCAGATTAATTTTTTTTGTTATTATTATTTTTTAGGAATTTATAGACAAATGTTTTAAGTGAATTGATAAACGCACAACAAATGAATTTGTTTTGTTTTTATTTTCTGTAATTATCTATTTAAAAAGAATTATTTTTAAAATTATAAATTATTAAAAAAATATGATAACATATGTGTTATGTGATTTGGTAGTTTGTAGATGAATTTGTTTTGTAATTTTTTTTCTAATCATCCATTAAAGAAATAATATTTACACATTATGAAATTATTACAGAAACGTAATAAAATAAATGTTTTATCCGATTCGTTAGATGTACAGACAAATTTGTTTCTTGTGTGTGTATGTGTTTTTTTGGTAATTATTTCTTAATAGAAATTAAAAGCAATGATTCGGTAGGATAATTTTGTGTTAGTTAAAAATTAAGGAAAAATTATATGTTTAGGGGTAGAGAGAAAAAAAAAGGTGAAGTATATAACGACCTCGTTTTACGTATAAGCTTTACCTTCGCTAACCGGTAATTCGCGTGTTCATGATGCATGAATACCAAGTGCAAGGATATTTCCTCTTGTAAAGATATTCACGCTAAACTAATTCGTCTTATAGTTGGATTGACTCGAAATGGTTCCAAGTTCGTTATTAGGGACAATTAATTTCACCTCGCAAAACACGATCGATCCTTCTAATTGTGGGAACTGAAATTATTCGAGAGATTACTTTCGATTCTCTTCTGTCAAGGTTTTCAATTAGGATTCCTATGTTTTATCTTTTTATTTGTTTTTCTAATTATTTTAATACTAAATAAAAACTACTTACTTATAGCATTTAAACATTGTTTTTTTAACGCGATTAATAATTACAATTGTTTAACATGAAAAAATATATTTCAATTCAATAATAATTCAAATCTAAATAAAATTGTAATTGTGATCGAGGTTTTAAAAATAAAAAAAAAACAGTTTGTACATATCAGGTGATGAATATTACGCAATCAGTATCTATTAGGATGAAATGAAAAGTAATCTGAGTGATTTGAAAAGCAGGAACACGAAACAGGAACACAAAACAGGAAAAAAAAACAGGAACTGTATACATAATACTTGGAATCGATAGTTACGAATCACTATTTCGAGAACGTACGCACGCACGCACTTTCAAAGAATTTCGAAGGAACTATATGTAACGTGTAATCAAAAGAGAGAGAGAGAGAAAGAAATAAAAGAGAGAGAAAGGAGTTTCTCGGTCGATCTACTAAATAGAACAAAGTTCTCAGTATGGTATTGCAATTCGAAAGATTCCTCGTATGCTTATTGTTAGAATTATTTTATGATAAGTCATTAGAAAGATCTAGTTCTTCCAATGATTCATTACCGTCCCGTATTGGAATTATTTCATATATTTATTCATTTTATGATTTAATATATTCTGAAATTATTTATTTGTCCTACGTAATATGAGTGAATATTAATTATTTCATTATTTTATATTTATTATTTAATGATTCAATAATTTAAAAGTGGATTCAATTGTTTTGCATTTGAACGAATTGTTCATTATTTAATTAGTTTATAATTTAATAATTCCTGTATGTATAATTTTCATAATTTCATTAATTTATTTAAAGTTTATATACGTGATATTTTAAAATTACTATAATAACATTCATCAATTTTTTGTCTTCGTAAAATTTGTAATAATAACCTTATGTAATTATTCCAATAATATTAATTTAATATGACAGTTATTTTTAAATTACTAAATTAACTCATATAAAATATTTTGTAACTTAAAATTCTTATAAATTTTTACTAATGTTATAAAGTGGTTATATTACATATATAATTATTTATAAAATATTCAGTAGTATCAAACGATAATAATCATTATTATTATTTACTTATGTATTTAAATTAAATATAGGTTATTATATAATAATATCATCATGTAATTATTATCACCTACTAATTGTAAAGTAGTACTATACAATTATATTATTACTATTATTATTATTATCTTAATATATATTTATAGAATTTCGTATAAAATATTGTTACGTACATATGACAAGAATCAAAAGCGAATGGAGAATGGATATACTAATATTAATGGAGTTTCACGCTCGTTAACGCTTTTACTATACGAGGACAAGATAATCGAGCAAGTGAAAAAAGGGTGGAGGGGATGTAGAAAGGGAAAGGCGTTCATTGAAGTTTCGTCATGTTAATACATCGATGATGTCTCCTTCGATGAACGTTACTTTTTGTATTTCTTTTTATCTTTTTTTCTATTCAGTTTTTTTTTAAAACATATTCCTCGTAATCCACCTAACAAAATAATGTAATTCGATCTATGTTCTAAGCTCAAGTGAAAGTCATAGAAAGGAAAATACTTCATAAATTTTCGAAAATAATTATGCAAGTATTATCTTTCATATTTTTTATTGTTGTTCTTTTTTTCTTCATTTCCTGCATCCGTAATTTTGTAAGATAAAAATATGATAGGATTAGAATATTGTGATAATCATTAATTAATTTTTATGATCTCGTATGATACTTTTGAGCCACCTTGTACGTTTATCTAAAGTTCAACGTACTCTACAAGATTTTTCATTTTTTCTTCCAAGGTCGAATTAGGCGAACGTTTTGCACTCACAGTTGCATAACACATATAGACCATAGTATTACTTGGTTATGGTAATATACGTAGGTGGTATCCAGATTTTAACAAAAAAGAAAAACTTTCTGAACATATAAATTCGATCTCGATTTGTTAAAATACGAATTAAAGATACGAAAGAGATTAAAGTTATTAACAGCATTTTGTAATTTTCCTTTCTTTTTTCACAATCTGTCCGAGTCTTATTAAACATTTCTATCATTTATTTACAATAATTTTAATAATATTTATGCATGAATGAAAAATAAATATATATACAATAGTATATTAATAAATAACCATAACGTCGTAAAGCATTATTGCCAACGTGAATGAATTGAAAAGCTTCGAACTTAAAAATAAAAATAAAATTAAAACAAAAAAGATACGAATAAAATCGATAAAAAATTGTCGGTTTTTTTTTTATACAAATCTCATAACCTTTCAACCAATCCACGTATATTAAAATTGTAATAATTACTTTAAAAATTATTTTATAATATTATATTATATATTAATATACAACATATACTCAATAATATTGTAGATATTGGATATAAAAATTTGCATACTTCGTAACAACAGAGTCGAGATAAAAAAAGAAAATGAATGCAAAGTGTTTCAGTTTTGACCTTGGAAAAGAATAAATAAGAAAAGAATGCGACCGAGGTTGAAGATTGATCGAATAGTTTATTTGCACTATAATGAGAGAAGAAGAGATTCAAGTGTGAGAAAGTGAGAGAGAGAGAGAGAGAGAGAGAGAGAGAGAAAGAGTAAGAAGGGGTGAAAGGGAAAAAGGAATGGAAGAGGAGGGGAAAGAGGGTGGGGGTTGGGGGGTTGGGAAGGGGTGATCGAGTAAAATGTAAGTGTATCTCGTAAAGTAGGAGAATGAAGCAAAAGGCGAATCACCATCATCGCATGTTGCGTAGGTAGGAGGTGTATATATGCACATATACTTACGTACACCTTTAGAGAGTTTACCAGGTATACATCGAACAGTTCGAGCGGACAGTCACCTTTTTGTTTCGAGACCGAGAGGATCTATCAGCTAAACTCTGGTTTGTTATAGATTCATCGATTTGTTAGATTAATTTAACAAGATTTATTTCCTTTCACTCGGGGTAAGTTTCTTTTTAATCTTATTTTTGTTAATACTTTCTCTTTTTTCTCTTTCTTTTATTCTTTTTTTATTTTTCAATTTTTATCTCATATCTGTCTCATTAATTTTATTTGTAGCGATTCGAGATATTTATTTTTTTGTTTGTTTATTTAATCGTATTCGTCGACATGATTATCTTTTAGGCGTTTTTTTATTTCTTTTTTTCTCTTAATTTTTATCACGTATTCGTCGTATTTCTATTTGTAACTATTCGAGATAGTTCTTTTTTTTTTAATAATTATATTTATCGGCAGATTGAATATGTTCTCGAGTGAATTTTTTTTTTATTTTTATATCAAATTTAATTTATTTATAAATCATACATATTTGAGATAATTTTATTATTTTTTTTATATAATTAAAATATATGCAATTCATATTACTGATTTAAAAAATTTGTGATATTATGGATAAAGTTTATGGCATTTATATTTATAAATTAATTTCTTATATTCAATCATTTCGAATTATTTTCTAAATAACTATGTTCCATGTATAGTAATTGATATTTAAGAAAAAGAGTTATCGAACTGAAATAATGCGATGTAATATGATCGATTATTGTTGAAGAAAAAGAATCATAAAAAAGATTAATAAAAAAAAAAGTGAAAATATTTGATTAACCACAAAGAAAATGGTGCCGATAAAGTAACCCCGTTACTAAGTTTCACAGGAATATCAAGCACGAATATTACGCAAGGGAATATAACTGGGCGTCCAGTTCACCTCGGTTCTCCTGCAAAACTTCTCTTGCTTCATACTGATTGCATTTAAATTGATTAACTCTCGTATTATCATTTAATTCTACGTTTGAGAAAGTCTAATTATCCTATTTTTGACTAAAGGACAGAGAAAACGAAATAAAACAATACAAAACAAGAAAAGAAAAGAAAGAGAACGAAAGAAAAGAACGATTCACGAGATAAATTTTTTTAATAAATTTTTTTTTTTTGAATGTAATTATAATAAAAAGAAAACCGATTAAATTCTTATTCAATTAATTTCTTTCAAATTTTTCATGTTATAATGTATTATATGTGAAATAAACGAATATTTAAGATGAAGATGATTTAAAGGGTAAAATGCATTCATTTATATCGTAAATAATTATTGTTTTTTTGTCTTTGTTTTTTTTTTTTTTAATATAATTGCAGATATTATTTGGAAGATAAGAGGGAGAATAACCGATCGGATTCGGCTCAAAGACTATGAGTCGAACGTTGTTGTTGGTGTGTACGTTGTTGTTGGCTTTGACCAACGCAAATGTAATTTCGACAGCATGGCAACCAGTCCCTTCACCTATTGGACCAAGCATGAGCGTCCTTCGGCAGGAAGCAACACTTTATGGAAACTTACCATCAGTTAATTCTCATTACGATATCGATGGACAACTGATCGATTTATCTCACGAACAAGAACAACAATGTTCTTTGTACAAAATTTCTACGAACCAACAACTTTATTTTGAGGTAACCTCTTTTTTCTTCATTTTTTATTCATTCATTCGTTTATTTAATTATTTATTTTTATATATCTTTTGATTTACCAAACATATTAGAGTAATTAAAAGTTTGAGATTCTATTTTCTTGTTGTTTCTTTTTATTTTGAAATGTGTTGTACTTTAATAAAGAAATATAAATAAAAACAGAGTACATAAATTTTGTAAATGGTTCTCATAATTAATCTAATTAGGTTCCATTCATATTTATATTTACTTTAAATAGTATTTTTACATAAATTTGCTAGATTTTGCTTCTAATAAGAAGTATAATTTCGGTCGTGTTACATAATTGCTAGTGTTACGTAGTTGGTTGTATTTTTTCTAAATACTGTTACATATTTGTTACTATCAATATTTAAATTAATTTATTTATTAAATATTCAACTAAAAAACTTTTGAAAGTTTCTTTTTTTCTAATAGATTTATTAGTAAACCTTGACCTTTATTTTTTTAATAAGGAAATATATTTCTAGTAATTTTATAAACGTTAATTAAACACATTTCTAATAACATTAATTATACTTTTTATGCACCTATTCAAATTTATTTAAATGATACAAAAGTATATTTTATTTAAATCTTCCACAATATTTCTAAAGAAAAAAAAATCATAGAAATGAATAAATGAAAAATTCAATGATTACTAAATCAGCTGAGGATTGTATAAACAAACAAGTTGCAATTCATGGTTCGGTTGAAATTTTCCTTTCTTTTTTCATAATATCTTGTCTCACCTTTTCTCAACCTAACCTGCTCACACACATACGCGTGTACTTTTTCTCGTTTAAATAACACTTGAATCTTTTATTTTTTTTCTCTTACATTTATTTATTTATTTTTGTCTTTATTTTTGCAGTATATACATTACAAGATCGACTTGCCGAATATGAAAGAGTTTACTCTTTGTATGTGGTCCAAGTTTCACAATCATACCAATGATCATCCTTTGTTTTCTTATGCAGGTGAGAACGTCACTTATGTGTCTTCTTTTTCTTTTTTGTTCTTTTTTCTCACTTTTCTTTTCTTTTTTTTTTCTTTTTTTTTTCTTACTCTTTACTTCCCTTTCACCTTGCATTTCGCTTGATGCGTATAAATTAAGTCAGGGAAAGTCTCTCTTCCGTTCCTCTCTTGTAAATCTTTTTCGATATATATCGAATGTATGATCGATAAAAGTTTTAATTAACGATTCATCAAATATTATTTCGACAATTTTATTTTCCATTTAAATACAATAATCAAATATATTATTTTAGATTTATATTTTATTATGAATATTTATATTTCAATAGTTTTATATAATTTTTATTATTCTAATTATTTATTTATTTATCAAATATTATTTAAAAATTTTTAATATGTTTGTTATTTTATAAATTTGTTAGAAAATTTTCTTTTAATATGGAAGCATATAATTTAGTAGTATCACATGTATAATTAATAATACTTAATAGATACTATTGTATAATTATTATTTATATAATCATTTATTTGATATCTTGATAAAGAAATTTATTGGATATTAATATCAAAATACGAAGTTTATTTGTTTTGACTAACTTTGTTAAAATTTTATTCGAATTTGTAAGAATATATTTTACTATAATGTTAGTTAGTTATAATTATTTATATGAGATTTTAATAAATATAATTAATATTTATTTATTAACAGTAATTAATTAATGTTTCATTTTTATTATTTATTTTCATGATTTATTTTACGCGAACGTTTACGCTTGTAATCGATATATATATATATATATGATATATGAAATGAATCTGTAGACTTATTACAGGTGAGTTATCAAAATAACGAAAGCCACTTTCCAAAGCGAATTTTAGAAAGGCGCTACTAACATTCAACACTTAATGTTTTAACTCAGACGCTTCGTTTCGTTTCGTTTAAGTTTCGTTTCGCGGTAAAGTCACCTTCGCTTTTCCCATCGTCATCGAATCGTTCACATACTCGATGTAATAATATGTACATCTAATTGTTAGTATATATGTAAAAGTAGATTTTCATGTACCGTTGTATATAGTAAATCATAAAGTTTGATAGGAATGAAAAAATCTTTTAAGTCGTTAAAGAAACTTTCTAGTCATTTATGGTTTCTTATAGATATGGTCTTATATGTTTATATTACATATGATTTATGTTAAATACTCATCCCTCTAAAATTTATATACAATTATTCATATTCCTATAAAAAATATGTTTTTCGATCGAAGAAGAAATTGCGGATTTATTTGAAATTGCAAATAAATGGTTAGGTAATTGAAATGATTTATACAATTTTCTAGCTGATTCGGTGAAAAATTCTAGATTAATACTGTGCGAGATTTATTTTTAGGCTCGTTTAATTTAATGATCTGCAAAAAAAGTATACATAAAAAATTTTGGAAGAGTACTATAAATTGTTAAAATTATTTAAGAATTTTAAGCACACGTGTATTTTACGTTTGATATACGTGAATTAATTATACAAAATTCATATCAATGTTAATATAATCCTATAAAAATATTTCATTTCCATTTTATTAAGAAAAATTTTTTATTAAATAAATATATGGAGAAATTTCAAATGATTTATGTGATTTACAAAATAGGCCTAATTTCTACCTAGGCCTAGTTTCTAATTTCCTAATTACTATTTTACGAGATTTTTTTTAATGTCGTGTAGTTTGACTTACAGGTTTATAATTTGCAATCGCTGAAAAAGAAAGCAATTAATTTTTTTATATCACCCAAGAATATTTGACTCATCTTATAGGATGTATAAAACGTGATTTCTTCATTTTATTATAGGATTTTATAAATCTAATTGGTAAGGATCGATAAAAATGTTATTATATCGTCATTATATCATTTTGAAAGTTAATGTTTCGTTTCGATTTAGGTCGTTTTATATTATGATCGATGGATCTATCAAATATATATATGAAATAATCTATTTAAAAAAATCTACAAACTTGTTATTACATCATCTCTATCATTTCGTAAAAGAAAGCGTTATGTAACGATTTAATTAATTCCGATGATGTGATCAAAAATGATCTCAAAATACATATCGAAAGATATAAATTAATACGTATTAAATAAAAATTACATTCAACTCGAAATATGTAGTTAATTAATTTATTCTATTTAATTTATTTATTAACTTATTATAGATCAAACTAAAGGTCATTATGTTAAAAAAAGTCATTGATTCAATATAAAAATTGAATCCTAAATAAATATTTCATTTATTAAAGATTAAATTATAGATTTTACAAAATACTTATATCATTTATTTGATTAAAAATGAAATTTCAAATCTATACGTTTTTTACTATAAGTTTATTTTTTACTACTATCAAATTCTAGATCATTTTATATCTACTCGATTAAAAACAAAAATTCCAAATCCAAACATATTATTAAAAATCGAACTATAGATCACCTCACACCTATTTACAAAATACCTATTAAAAATTCTTATTATTTATAATAATAATAATAATAATAATAATAATTATTATTATTATTATTATTATTATTATTATTATTATTTTCAGTTGGTGATCAGCCACGAGGTATTCTATCATGGGTGGCAAACACACCAAGAAGTTCGTATTTCATGATGAATGTGGATGGTCACAACTTGTATAGATTGAATTATCCGTTGAGACTTAACAAATGGTACCACTCTTGTCAGAGTTGGAATGGCCGTACCGGAGAATGGCAGATTTGGGTCAACGACGAGCGTGTAGGTCGTGGGTTCAACAACAGGGTAAGCGAGCATTGTCTTTTATCTGTAAGATAAAGAACCAACCCTCTTTTTTTTCCTCCCTCTTTCTCTCTTTTTCTCCACACTTTCTCACTTTTCTATTCTTTTTTCTTTCATTTTTTCCATACATAATACCTCACCTTCTTCGAAGTATACTGTAAGAAAACGGAGATTTCTTAAATAAACCTTCCTCTCCTACCACGAACTCTTTTGTTCGAATCACACTACAATTCTTTTCTCTTCATCTTTCTTTTTCTCTTTTTATTTCTTTCTTTATAGTCATCGATTTATTTATGTATATGCGTGTAGTTACGTGTGTTGTTTTAATTACTTGTACGTTGTTATTACGTGTTTTTTGATTTATCTATTGTATAATTTATTGTTTTAATAATTAATATAATAGTTTTAAACAATAGATTAATATATCTTCACAGTTAATAATTATTAATTATTAATGATAAAATATTATTTGTTTTTTAATATCTTTTTTATATATTGACACATTTTGTAATAATCAAGAATAGATAACAGTGTTTGAAATGAATTGGAATATTGGAACACGTTGATTAATCTTGTCATTTAGATTATGTTTCTTTTTTTACCTTGTTGTTAGATCAAATGTCACTGTTACAAAGTATGAATTAGATGACAAAGTAAAAAGGTTCATACTATTTATGCTTTGAGTGATTGGATCGAATGTTATACACGCGCATTATTATTATATAACCCATCATGTAATTTTTACTTATTCATTTGCTTTCGAGGTCGGTGAAAGGCTCTTGAATTTCAAATGATCGTTTTTATTGTCGGTATTATTATTTTTATTGCTTATTGCACTTTGATTGTCTTTTGATGTTCTATTAACGTAAAATTCATTTTTCTTATGGTATAATAAAAAAAAACTTATAGAAATTGATCAACTGTTTTTTACATTTCAAATTATCATTTATATTAACGATTACTATTACTATTATTATTATTATAAAATTAACATAAAAAAAGACAAATTTACAGACGCATTTGAAGATCATATAGTTATCGTTTATGTAATTTTTGGATTATAATTTGTAGAGAAAAAAGTGTATGAACAAAATTTGATTGATAGATAGGAATTGAGAAAGGGAGGAGAAGAGATGAATATTTTTGTTGCTTTTTTGACATTTAAATTCCATAGAGTTATAGAAAGTAGGCGTGTACCTACCGTTAGTGAAAGAAATGGTAATAGATTTCGAGAGGGGAGTAACGATCGCGTGAGGTAGAGTAAATACACATACGGGTATACTATATATATATATATATAAATTAGTACTAGAGACAGTATTACTGTTACAATTACTACTACTACTATAACAAATAGTTAGATAGTAGAGGTTGTTAGGAAGTAGAGGTAGCACACCTGGAAATGATTCTTGACTTATCGTTCGTCAAGTTGCTCGTCGTTCTTGAAAGTCGGTGCACCGTGACGAATGCACTCGAGAGAAAGTGGCCTTTGGAAAATTACAAATTACCAAAGACACATATTGATCTGGGGTCAATGTGAAGGCAAATCGAAACTCCCAACTACTACATTCGTTTAATTTTATTTTGTATTTAATTTTTCTTTTCTTTTTCTTTTAATTACATTTTTATGTATCACGTTTTAAAAAAGCCTTTAAGATTTTGTACAACTTATCTCTCAAGTCAAACAAGTTTAATATCGTACTTTTAACTTCATTTTTGATTTAAATATTTTTTACCGTAACTTCAATACATATTTCAACTTTCACAATTTTTATCTTTGTTATTATTTTTTTTATTATTAAATTATAATTATTTAAAAGTTCTTTGATGATTATTGTAATTAATTATACATTTTTTTTTTACAATCGCTATTCAAATGATTTTCAATGAAATTTATCATATTTTCTTGTAATATTCGTATGAATATAAGTTATTTCATTTTAGATCGTACTAATTATGGAATTCGTATTAACGTAGGAATTTGTTTGAACATTTCAGTTAGTCGGTCACGTCATCAAGGGTGGTGGTATTCCAATATCAGGTCAAGAGCAACGCCAATTGGGTGGTGGCTTTTTAGAAGGGGAAGGTTCTCCACCAGGTGAGTTATTCAAAGTATAGAACAATTAATACCGATCGATCTGATATTATTTACCTCCTTCTCTCTCAATTTCAATCTCTAATTAAACGAACTTATTTGTGTATTAGGTTGTTGTGTAATCGATTAATTTTCAAGTCGATATAATAATTAGACATAGTTATTCTAATTTGATATAGTTCTAATTAAGAAAAGAAAATTAGATCAAACTTTCGATCGAATATTTTTAATATAATTTTTATTAATTAATCTTCCGTATAATTATTAGAAAAATTTCTGTTTACTTTTTTTTTACTGAAGCAAATTGTAATCATTTGTGCCGTGTAACAATTTTCAACACAAATGTAATATTTAATAGAATATATTTATCCAAAAATTATTCAAAAACCCTAATTTATTATTTATCTTAATACATTATGAAAAAATTGTCTGTTACAAATTACAGGATCAGGAGGAATGTTAGGAGAAATAACAATGGTTCAGTTATACAGTGTTGCTTTAACAGCTGGAAAAGCTCACAAAGATCACAAACATCATCATGCTCATCATTACGAACACGACACGACAAATAACACCCCAAGGCCAACGACGAGACAACCAGTTACGGGACCACCCTTGCCACCTAATCCATTCTTAACTGCGGGTCAAATTAATCCTCAAGTACGTCGTGACAATAATTAAATAATATTTGGATTATACAGGATGTTTCGTAAAAAAAGAAATATTTATTCATATGGGACACACCCTGTGTATCTTCATTTATTAACATTTTACTATTTTTAATTTAGGTGAAGATTAATCCAGGTGCACCGTTGCAAATAGTTAGAAACGGAGTGATCGTACGTCATCCAGCATTACCACCCCAAAGAGAATCACCAGCCCAACCTTTTCCCCCAGCCAATCTTGAAAATCTTTCAACAATGCTACCATTTGTCTCGCCATCGCCATCCTTGCCAGTTACTTTGCCACAAGATTCAGCAAGCGTTTATGTTAATATTTTAGGCAGACCTACCATAGCTTATCATGAACTTTTTAAAAGAGAGAAAAACCTATCGAAGAGGGAAAATCATGAGGATAAAATCGATACAACGGTCACGTCATCGTCCACTTCAGTTGACAACAATGATAACAAAGTTTGTTTCAATTTTATCGTTATACGTGAAATTTCGTATAAGTTCATACATACACGTTTTCAACGCATTTTTTTTTTTTATTATTTATATATTTTTAGGTGACATTTGTTCCAAGGACCACAGAAGAGGAATCAGAAAAAGAAGGGAAAAAACAATTAACCGAGAAAAAAAAGAGAGGAATATTACAATTATCGGACGGTTTATTGATAGATGACAATTATCCTGTCGCCCAAGGTTTAGACAACAATTATTTATCTGGTTTAGCTAATTTCGATCTTCAATTGGTCAAGCAAGATAATAAAGATGACGAAAGAGAACCAGCCGAAGCTGAAGTTAAAAGGATCATGGATATTTGCGATGGCTGTGCCGAAGAACCTTTTGAGAAAGCCCTCATCATGGGATGGAGATCTGTACCTAAAAAGGTTTACTCTGGAGCCCTTTATTTACCTGCTGTGCAGGTTTGCAAGGCTTTTTAAAAATTGACTTTCATTTCTTAACTGTTTTCTTCGAAAAAAATTCAAAATCTAAACGACAGGGTTTTACGAAGCCTAGAAATATGGCTGATAGATAATCTTATCTCATCTATAACAATAGATAATTATTTTTAAAATGTAAATTATTCAGAAATTCTAATGAATGGATTTTTTGTTTTATTTCGAAGATTACGTCGAAAAATTCCATTCTCTTTTTTTGTTTCATTTTCTTTTAGATAATTTGGAAACACAGTATTACATCGGTTAGATAATTATTATATCATATTTTTGTTATCGTTCTATCATTATTAGGGATGAAAATTTTTGAAACAAATTTCGAATAGGGTTATTCACCACGTAAGTTCATAGTACCTAAGTTTACATTATGAGATGAAATTTTTGATTATCTTTATTGTAAGATAAGAAAAATTTGTCTCTTCGTGTATATACATTAATATCTCGTTGACGTAAAAAAAAAAAAAAATTAAATATCTGCGACAACGACGTATTTGTAGTTATTATTATTATAATACGTTTAAAATATTATAGAACTGAATATTGCTTAAAAAAAAGAGGAAAAAAAGAAAATTTGTTTTCCTTACCTTGCTCTTGTGAATATGTTGATGTTGATACTCGCTGTCAAATTCAGGCTCACTGAAATAACTTTGATCCTCCCAATGAGGTGGTAATCCTCCACCTCCTGGTATACCCAAAGGTCCTGGCATTCCAGCTACTCCGTCGGCACTTTCAAAAAGTTTTAATACGCTCCTGTCCCTTATATCACGTAGATGTAACCTAAGAATCGAGATCGGAATCAAATGTTATTATTATAGATAGGATCAATAGAAATTTTGTTGCTTTTAAAGTTAAATCCTATTTCTATGGAATATTTGGGATGCTGATTCTAAATTGTAACTATAGTTTCGTTTTATTAAACATAATTTTAAGTATAATATTATATTGCACACATATCAAAGATTAAAAAAGATGAAAAAATTAAAAAGATAATAAAAAATGTATACTTAACGATTAAATTATTTTGTACAATAGTATTTGTATCGTTTTTAATTATTATAATATATAAAATATATAACTAATTATTAAATTATAATTTTATTATAATAGTATATGTACTGTAGAAAAAGATTCTAATTTTTGGTATAGTACCTAATATTTATAATATAACGTGTATAATATATACTATTACATGTAATATTTGTAACAAATCAGTATTTTGTATCATAATTTATAAACTACAGATTATATTATTTTATCGAATCAGTGTGTCAAATATAATCGAGAATAGGTTCAATTATTAAAGCAACAGATTTAAACTTTCTTTTTCTTTTTTAAAGACTATTTTATTTAACATTAATTTAAAGAAAAAGAAAAATAATTAAAACGTAGAAGAATTGGTCTCTCACCTGTGATCCTCTAGTTCATAGAAGACGTTCTTGTTACTATCGTGAATGTAAACCTTGACGTGAGGACTGTCGAGATATTCCATAGTTAACTGTTTAGGAAAGCTTCTGACGAAGAGAGCCTTTACAGTATCTATGCTGGTTATTTCGTTTGGGAGAAGTGCCCTCTTCGTCTCGTTCCTGTACTGTAGGAACACCAGTCCTGGGGAATCGTCAACAGAAACGAATCGTTCTATCAGTGAAAACGTTTTTCAACGTCATCTCATTTAAAACATTTCTAAGCTTCCATTTACGTAGGATTTTCATCTATGTATGTACGTATATATGTTTATATTCATGCACAAAATTACTACACATTTACCAAACAGGTATTTACTTCTCTAAAACAGTTTTTTCTTACTTACAGTACTGTATCACTAAAGAAAAAGTTACTTTAGAAATTCGAGATAAAAAAGTATACTTGAACTTAAAAATTAAAATCAACTAGGAACATCAAAATTAACTAGAATCCGATAAATTTACTGTAAACTTAAAAGCTTAATAAAAACATTGGGTTCGTATTTAAACGCAATATATTATAAACGCAAATAAATAATAATAATCATAAATAATAATAAATTATTTTCGTAAATAGTGAGTAATATAATTAATTTTTAAAAATTAAATTAGATACTTCTGATTTATCTTTATACGTGCATACATAGGCAAATTTATGTATAATAGTAATAATAATAATAATAATAATAATAATAAAAATAATAGATAATAAATTATGCTCGTGGGTCGTGAGTTACCTAATGGTCGTTCCAAAGTTTTGCTAGGAGTTCGGACAACGGGTAGACTACTTCTTTGTTTTCCACCCCTACGAAATCCAGTGCTGGAGGTTTCCACTTCGGACATGATTCCTGGGTCATCGTCGAATAACATGGCTGACGAGGTTGGTGTGTAACCACGGAGCAGAGGCGACTGAAATAAATAACCCCATTAATTATCGCCAATCAAATTTACGAATGTTTATATTTTTATTTTATTCCATTTTGTTTCATCCTGAACTTATTGAACTACGTGACAATAAAGCACAGTGATCAAAAAAGAAACAAGGAATTCACTCATGCAATCGTGCCATGTTTAGATGCTTGTGAATTACAAACGTAAAATAGAACCAAAAATATATGACACAACACGTTTAAGGATCATTTTTAACGCGCGTAAACGAGATTAAATTAAAAAAGAGAAAAGGGGCAGAAAAAAAAATAAAATTACCTTTCTCTGGCGAGACTTGGTCCCCATCTGTAGCACAGCAAGGCAGGTACACGGAAACACACATACAAGTAAACCAGTTAGACGTGTAAAAAAACATACGGAATGAACCCAAAATTTTTAAGTAATTTTTAAAATCATTTAAATTTAATATTTTTTTCTTTTTTTTAAATTACCTAGAGATCTTTTTGGGTTCACACTGTAGTAGTAAAAAATATTTGCGCAAAACATTCTTTTCTTTTTTCTTTTGAAATTCTTTTTAAAGGCGGAAAGTATAGATAAAAAGAGAAAATAGTTAAAAAATACGCAAAAATGATTATTTACAAAACAGGTTCGAGCATGAAAGGTTAATATTCATTAATAAATAAAAAGAAAAATAATAAGAGGAAGAAAAAGATAATTAGAGTATAATTAGAAAAAAATGCATACTTAAGCGTGCCGTTAATTACGACATTGGCGTGATTGACAAAAATATAAAAAGGAAATTTATTCCCATTTCGACAATTATTCATATTTGTAGTGCAAAAAATTAAAATGAATTTTTGTCTCATTTTCTTTCACTCATTTTACTAGTCGCAATTATCGGTACACGTATAAAAATTCAGATTAAGATTTAAAAAATAGGGTAGATAAACAATAATAATTTATTAATAATACGTACGTTTTATGAATTACGGGGTTCCTTCGAGCTTTACTTAGAGTCTTTTTAAATCGAGAAATATTCACAAGGAAAGACGACAGACTTTGTCTCGTTCGTGACAAAGACGCGAATGAGAACGAATATATATATATGCATATATATATGTGTATGTGTGTGTATGTGTAATTATATATGTGTGTGTATAGTTAATTAACTGCTTCCCTTCGTTAGATTCCTCCTTTCCTTCTTCATACATACATATCATCGTTCAACCTCGTAAAAGCGTCTCACGTCTTTCCTCGATCCGTTATAATATGAGTATATCATTATTTTCCTTTTTTATCCCTCCCTTTTATTTTTTGCTAACCTTTTGCACTATGAGATCACTTGCTACGTTCTAATAATTCACTGAATTCATTCTGATTGAACAGTTAAAAAGTCTGTTCTTGGAAACAGTTAATTAATCGCAATTACTTTAATTAATTGTTTAAAAATGAAAAATGAAAACAAAAGAAACACGTATGTGCATACACTTAAACCTATTTAAGGCAAAACATTTAATTCCAATAATATTATTTTCTGTTTAAAAAACAAGATTAAAAATTTCTATTCAGATTTCAAAATGTATGTTAAATAATACGAATGTTGATGTAGCCTTGATGGAGTTAAGTTGCAAAAGGTTAGAAAAAAATTATATTTATCGTCTCAAAAAAAGAAAAAAGTCGAAGAAGAAGAAGAAATAGAAGATAATATAAAGAAAGGAAAATTTTTGGAAAAAGAATGAAAGTGTATGCGTAATTTATTTACATGTTGCGCGAGCAAAGATTCACCTCGAGATCCATGGTGCCGTATTGGCTATGGGGTGGCGGCAAATGACGGGGATGAAGGGGGTGCAATTGTTGGCCCCCGGCGTTGAACTGTTGATGATGAAGAGACGGTTGATGATCACCACCGAGGGTGTGCCTTCTGGGTTCGTCCCTCGAACGGCTCCCACCTCCTCCACCTGCCCTTCCTCCACCACCTCCAATCTCGTTCCCTCCAACACCACCACCACCACCGATACCACCACTACCAACCACACCAATTCCTGTACCACCACCTCCTCCCCCGCCCAATCCTCCTCCTCCCCCTCCCCCTCCTCCGCCACCACCACCGATGCTACCTCCACCACCTCCCCCGATACTTCGTCTACCCGGTGTGAGAGTAAGCTCGTTCGAGCCAACTTCACTCTCCACCCTGCCGGATCCACCTGGAAAATAAATTCAATTATTTCCTTTAATAAACTTTCATCATTTATTTACATATTCCAGTTATTAGATTAGCTACTGATCAACTATTTCATCCCGATTTTGTTCTTTTTCTTTAAAAAAAAAAAAGGTGAAACATTTTTTTCATAGGTAATTAACAAAACTGTACACTAAACTGTTAAACAAATTATTTGTTATAATAGTCGATAATAAATAATTTATTCGGTAAATATCGTTAATAAGTTCTGATGGTATATAACTTTAATTAAAATACGATAGAAATTATGCAACGACCTCCTGATTCGCAGAGTCATAGATTTTTCTTGAGATTAGTTGTAGTTGAATTATATAAAGGTTGGTCAACAAGTCCCTGCTATTTTTGTCTTATTGTTTAAAAATGAAAAGCTATTAAAATACTATCTTAAAAAAAAAGAAAAATTATATTACCCTTAAAAATCAAATCATACAGTAGGTTGGTCAATAAATTCATGAAATTTATTTTTTAAATAAAATATCAAGCATCCTTTTGAATTATTGGTTAACTTAATATATTTTAATTTTTAGGAAAAATTTGACTGTTTTTTATAATATGTTACTTCAATTGCTTGGTATTGAATTTTTTTTTTATTCTTTATAAGAAGACTAGAATACGTTCGCTTAGAAGTTGCTAGAAATAGATTAGGTGTTTGTAAAATCATGCGTAAAGGTTTTTACTTCTCAACGCCAAAAATAGTTTAAGCGTTTCACATACATACTATGTTCTTTTTTAGATTACTATGCAGCTACATCATCAACAATTTTGATTTTCGTAAATTATAAATTCAGTTTATGGTATTATAAGATAACATAAATTAGAATATATAATGTATCGATAGAATTGTGTGTTTGCACGTTATAATTATTAAGAAATTATTAATATATCATTGATATAAATAATGCAAATAATTGTTTTAGCAATTAATAATAATAATAATAATAATAATAATAATAATAATAATAACAATAATAAATCGTTATTTATTTATTTAAAAAGAAATTATTCAAATAAATTGTTCAAACTCGTATGATCTAAATTTCAAATAATTACCTCAATATGATTTTATTTCTCTATAATAATTACTATGAATTTAAAAAGGATAAGAGAGATAGAGAGAGAAAGAAAACGTTAAGATGGTGATGGGAGGATAAAAAAGATCATTAAAAATTATTTTCCTTGTTATCCGGCCAGAAGAATAAATAATTATTAAATAGGATGATTATATTTTCCGTGATAAAATCAAACAAATTTGAAATGAGAAATTGTCATAGTTGAAAATTTGTTCAGAATGAAAATAGGTCGGTTGTTTGCCTACTTTGACGACGATGACGACGACGACGAGGATGAGGACGAGGACGAGGACGAGGACGAGGATGACGATGGCGACGTCAACGTGGTCAAAAAGGGGCCATAGAGTTAGCTCGATGCTGAACTAACGAACGAGAGAGAGAGAGAGAGGGAAAGATAGGGTGGAGGTGGAAAGAGGAGGAGGAGGAGGAAGAGGAGGATGAGGATGGCAGCTTCTGTTCGGCATGGCGTCGTTGAGTCTATCGTCCAATTAATGACGAGACTCGAATTCTAGTACGCGAGAGAGAACGTTGGCCAAAGAGCAACGTATCTCTGGATTGTAGTTTCCTATGCATGCTTCGCGGATTTCAAGTAGCATGATCTAGTCACTAGAACACTAACGTCGGATACTTCTAACGTTGAATATCACATTAATTGAATTTTATAATATTTGTAATATTATTTCCTTTTTATTAATTATATTATATTATATTTTCATTGAATTATATGATATTGAGTTAGGTTATTTTAATTATTATTAATGTTCGATATTTCTAGTGTTAGATGTGATAGGTAATATTTGTAATATTAGATTTCTATTAATTATATTATTTGACAACATTTTTTTGTTTTTTGATTATGGTATTAAGTTTAATTATTGTTATTACTACTGATGTTTAATATTTCTAACTTTAGTTGTGACATTAATTCGATGTTAAATTTTGTGTAATATTATTTTTGAAACTTTCTTTAGTTCCATTGGTTTATGTGGTATTTAGTTTAGTTATTGTAATTAGTATTGATTGTTGATAATTCGGATTTATAGTATCCTTTATTAACATTTTAAAGAAAATGTTTTTATCTTGTTCAAATTTTTTTTAAAATTATTATTCTTTATATTTTTTTATTCAAGCAGTTATTTACATTGAATTTGATCATTATAATTAGTATTCAGTATTAAACATTTTTATTTTGATACTTAATGTTCGTCATTTTAATAGTAAAGAAAAAATTCCATAAAAATATCTGTCAGATATTTTTACTGTGCCATAAATTACGAGCGCAAACGATGACGTAAATATGACATAGTATATATATATATATATCATTTTTAAACGCTCATATTATTTTTTTATCTTTTTTTTTATTTACGTACGTGCGTATATATTTATCTAAATTATTATTATTATAATTTAGCTATATTATTATTATTATTATTAATACTATGAAATATCGAACATTTAGATTTTTACTATTTATGATGATGGTAGAGACATTAAAAATTTAGAGAGAGAGTTAAACGTTTATCCTTTCTAATCCAAAATTCTATAAAAATTTATCTCACACTTTCTCACTCTCCTTCTCTTTTTATCTCAATCTATCTCGTTCAATATATTTACGTATCATCGATTAATCTTCTTATCGCCTTCGAAGAGCGTTTTACGATTACAAAATTGACTTGAAATGTCAACTTCAGATCACTTTTTTCTCTCACTTGAATAATTTCATTTATCAATTTCAATTACAATAATCTCGAGTAATCGATCAAAATATATGTATACGAAATTTCAAAGACACAATTTTAGAAAAATGGCGATTAAAAAAAATCATTCAAGTTCTACTACCTTTCGGTCAATGATTCAAATGTTTCACCACTTCCTGTGGTTTTCCTAATGATTTAATCAAAATAAGAAAATAATCACCCGGATATAAAGAAAATGAAATAAAAAATAATACTTCTCCAAAACTCGTGATCATTGACATTAATTCATTTAATTATTTAATAATTCAATAATGAACACTAATTTCAATAGTTTAATTAATCTACTCCAAACAGTTATTAATCACTGAGGCTATCCAAAAGAAGAACAACTAAAAACTATGAAAAATGTTTGTCAAAGTGTGGATGATGATCGAACTATAGCAACTATACTTGTAATATAATATAATACCCGAAGTAGAAAATGGCAGTATAGTTAGGTTTGGTCAGACTTGTGACGGAACGAGGGCACGATGCGTACTGCGAGAGTAAAGTTTATTTTCAGAGACGTGAACGCGTGCTAGCGTCAGAAATCTAATCTATCGGTCGGAAATTCAACGATAACGATGTGTGGGAGAGAGAGTGAGAGAGATATCGAGATATATCTCGTTATAACAAAATATATATATATATATACATAGAGATAGAGATTGATAGATAAATAGACAGATAGATAATGCATACATGTATATATATATGAGAAAGAGAGAAAGTAATAGAGAAATTGTATGTATGAGAGAGAGAGAGAGAGAAAGAGAAGGTATGTGTATCTGTGTGTGAGAGAGAGAATATGTCTATGTATGTATACGAAGAGCATATGTGCGTGCGTGCGTGCATAAGTGTGAGAGAGAGAGAGAGAGAGAGAGAGAGAGAGAGAGAGAGAGAGAAAGAAAGAGTGTGGGCGTGTGTGTGTGTGTGTGAATGTGAGAGAGGGAAATAGTGATGGCAACGGCCGTTTCAAATCGATCGATTCTCAACGAGCTGTCCACGATTAGGGTGATATCTTGAGGGATAGATACTAAAGCCTGGACAAACTGTTGCGCGTAGTGTTTGTTCTTTAAGTACATCAACGATGCGCTCGATCGTAGAAAGGAGAGAAGAGAAGAGAAAAGAAAAGGAAAGGGAATGAGTCTTTCTTCCTCTCTCTCTCTTTTTCTCTTGAAATGGTCGTCTTTAAATAGACGGAAGGAGACCGTCTACTACGCTTAAGGAAATCTTAGAAGAGCGCGTAAGGTTCGATGTACGCGCAACATACGACCATGATCGTGATCATGATAGTAATTCTTTTTCATTGTTATCCAGTCAACTTTATATTAGTCAGAATGAGGAGAAGCTTTGGAAAAAAAGGAAGCCTCGAAAGTTTAGATTTTTTGTCTGATTTTTTGGAGAATTTAAAATTTAGAAATGTCAGGGGATAAAGGTTGTTTCTCACTTATGTTTATTAATAATTTTTTTCTTTCCAGATAATTTTTTTAAAGATCGTGATTAATAATTTTATTATAATGATTTTTTGGGACATGAAATTTTCAAAATTCTGTGTTGTTGTGTTATTTTAAAATAGTACAAGTTAGAAATATTGGAGTAATTGTTAAGATCTTAACACTTAGCCGACCGTTCGGGTAGATCTACCTTTTTCCAAGCTAGTCGGTGGCCGACCGATCGGGTTGATCAACCATTTTCATCTGAGGAATGCTTTTTTCTCTATAGAGCTTCTTAGCTATATAGGGTACAACATATAATAAAATGCACCAATTTTTGAAATCTTTTATTGCTCATTATTACGACTCTTTATTTTCGGGATTTTTGATGATGTCTTTGCTAGCCATAAAATTATTTTCAACAATATTAAAATATATTACTACCTTTTTGTTCCATATTTGAATTACGTTATTTATCCGTCATCTTTACTGTTCTTAATTTTCTGACTCTATTACTTATACTTTTTGAATATATATAACCATTAAAAAATAATTATTATAAACTTTTAATTTCGAATTTTGTATAAGTAATATGTGAAATCATTGAACAAAATTGTTACCGTAAGATATAATTGATCACATAAAAAATTTTCGAACGTTTTTGATTTCAAATAGCGAATTAGTCCATGCTACTTCAGAAAAATGCGCGGTGGAGAGCGC